ACAAAGGAACTTACAGGAAACATACCTTAAAACCAAACAAACTGGTAAACTTTAGTTGATAATCCTCAAAGAAAATGGAGAAGAATGGACAATGCAAGTTGTTAATTCTGTTCTACCTGCATCAGAGGGTCCATCTATAACCATTGAACTGTGCTTGCAGTGGCAAGCTCACCACCTGCGAGGTGTCAATGTCTCTGTCTTGTTGTCTCAGGATGAAATACCTCTCCCAAGTACATTGTCTGCATTGTGACAATAGCATTCCTGTGAATCTTTCCTCCCTTCTCCCAAAGTAAACCCGTACCTCATGTGGTGATGGAAGGGTCTGGCCCCCTATTGGCTATAGTAGCCTGAAATGCTATGGCAATGTAGAGTCAGATTTGCAGTAGGAGCTGGGCTAAATCCAGCAGAAGCCTTTGGCTTGGTATCTTAGTTTCTCAGTGACAGGAGAAGTTTTAATGAAGGTGCTTATTGTTTAACATCATGCAAGAATGAATCAGACTACCATCCCTGTCTTCCCAGAATAGGCAGGCATGTGTGCACATGCGCGCACATAAACTCACATGTATGCATCTCCGTCAGTAGCTGATTCGTATTTTTTCAACGGAGCTAGGGCTGACCGTTAAGCAGCACTGTCAAGAAGTGTAGCTGATGGCCCAGAAATATCTGGTGAAAATCATGAAGTGTTCATGCAGTGTTCATTCATCTAGTTTCACTTATGGCTGTACCATTTGCCTACCCAAGTGCTGTGATGGTAATAGCAGGGCTTGAGACTTTCTCTCCCACTTCTCTTCTCCCCTCCCCTCCTCTTATTTCTTTTCTCTCATTTTCCTTCCTGTTCCCCCTCCTTCTCCTCCCCTCCCCTTTTTTCATGGCTGATGGATATGCAGAGTATGTTAAGAAGCAAGAAATACTGTCACCGAACTGATGGTGTTCAGTGACTCCTTGAGCTCCTGGCTGGTCTGTACTGCAGGAGCTTGACACCCTGACCACTGAGGCATAAAAAACAGAGAATTGGAAGCCTCAGCCTGACAGGCACTAGAGCATCCCCCAGAGAGGGTCCTAGATGTGTGTGTGTGTGTGTGTGAGCGAAAGGAGGCGGGTGGTAGAGCTTGTGAGGGGGAGGAGAGCAAGGCAAGAGAGAACGAAACAATGAAATGTCAGCTTGTTTCTACTGGTAGTCATGCAAGCAGCGCTGCTGAGTATTTAAAAAGCACTGCTGCCTGTTAAGTGGCATGCACAGCATGGACACCGGACAGACAGGGTTTCTCTGAACACCTAGTGAGAAAGGGAAACAGGGACAGCTAGTGAAAATGAGAAAAAGGGGCAGTGACAAGCTGGGTAAAATGCTGAGGAGCCACAGTGGGACCTATTGTCCTGTCTTCTGATGGGTAAGCATGTCCTTCCTTGGAGTGCAGGGCAGCTTGATACAGCTTTGTTCAAAATCTGGGATGTCCACATCCTTAGTCATGTAAATGGCCTGCAACAAAGATCAGTGGTTGTCCTGTCCGTTTTGTTCTTCTTTCTTACAGCATGCAGCTCCTAGGTTTTTTTTTTGCATGTTATGTCACTCTCAGCAGCAGCAAGGTGGGCTATGCATCCCTGGACCTGCTATTGTGCTATGTCTAGTCTACAAAGTCTGGAGAGACTTTGAGGAATCTTTTATTTGTTTTCATAATCATCCTGCCCCTGTGCAAGTAAACTAAGTCATTGCCTTAATCCTGCATTTCTCCCTACCCTGAAAGAAAAGAAAAAAAAAAAGAAAAAGAAAGAAAACAGTAAAACAATCCACAAGGTCAAAGGATATTTGTGTAGCGCACATTGGAAGGATGGCCTGCCTTTGGGTCTTCTGTGGCAGGAAGAGTGCATATCACTCAACCATAAAACTACTAAGCAGTTTGCTACCTATATGCTTTGTGGCCTTGGGCAAAACCAGTAGGACAGAGTCAGGTCAAAGACTTGATGGAATCCCAGCTGATGATGTCATAAAAATAGGCGTGACTGTCTGAGAAGACCATCTCAGGTGCAGCAACAGGAAGCCAGAAGCAGGGATCAAGGAGGGGAATTTTTTCCGGAAGTAGAATAGAACTTGTGGCAGAGGCATTTTTATCCAACGGGAGAAAGGTCACTCTCTGACTAGCAGAATAAAGGGGGACAGCTTTGCCAGTGACACTGGTACTTCAAATCACTGCTCTGTACCTAAGACCCCCAGATCCTTTTGCTGACATCCATGCATGCTGGTAGCCCTGGTGGGCAGATGACAGAGGCGGAACATTTGATTTAATGCAGGCTAGCCACTTCTAGTCTGGAAATCTTTTTATTCGTGCCTTCATCTGTTGTTTTAGCTGCCTGGTCTCCTTGCTTGGTGAAGCTTTCTGACCTGTACAAGTACACCCTCCTCCCTTTCCACTGTCCCACTCTCCCAAAAATTCCTGCCATCCCTTTTGTCTTTGCTGTCTCCACCATGCCTCATTCATTTAGAAAACAAGAGTAAGCATCATGACAGAGTTAACCTCCATGTACTGATGTCATCCATCATCCGAAAGGTCAAGGGACAAAAAGTAAATATACATACTATGTGCTTCACTAGAAAACCAAATTTGGAAACAGCTCTTGTTTTCAGTGGTTCACAGCGATTAGTGCAGTTTTTTAGAAGCAGTAATAAAAATCCGTTCCAGGCTTTTGTAGAAATGTAGTCAAAACATAACAGGCCCTTTATGGAATGGACATTTAACTGTCTTACCTTCAGCAGCAACAAATCTTTATTTCTCACTTCTGTTCCTGCAAAAGAACCTTGAACAGTCAGTGTGGAGCAGCTGCAGGAGCCACAAAAAACCTCTGAGTTTCTCATGTAAAGAAAGGAACCTGAGGAACAGAAGGGCTGCCAGACTGGATCAGACCCGCGGTCCACCTAGCCCAGTATCCCTGGCCTGCCAAGGCCAGTTCCAGCTGCTCTGAGGATAGTGCAAGCAGTCTTACCCGAGGAGACGTTGGATAATCTGCCCACGGTTGGTCTTCTTCAGATCAGTAAAGAGAGACAGGTAGAAACTATGAAGCATGAGGTTTGATCTTCTTTCCAAAATGAACTATTTCCACTGGGATTAACTGCTTCAGTGCTGGGTAAAACTGCTGTTCATAAAGATGTTTGGAGCCTTTCTGGAGCCTGTTGATGTTCTAGGCTGATCCACATCCAACCACAATGAGCACCTTAACTTACAGATGGGCTGACTGTTAAAGTGCTTCTTTCTATTGGCTTCAGTCTCTGCCTCCTTTCCCTTTCAGTGAATGCTGTTTTGCTCTTGAGTTATGTGAAAGAGAGCAACTCTCAGACTAACAGGTACCATACCATGGATCCCAATGACTGTGGGGTGCAACAGAGGGACATAGTGCACAGAGACCCTGGGAGCAGAGCAAATGAGCAGCAGCTCTTGCTGTCTATGTAGTCAACCTTTTTTTTTCTTGTGTTCTTCAGTGTAGTCTGAGAGGTAGCTCTTTTTTTGCTGAAATAGCATTACATAGAGACCGAATACTGCTGAACATGACCCTATGCTTTTCCTTTGTCACAAACATGTATTCTTTCTACATTGGCAGAAATATATTCTTAGCCCATGTGAAGAGAGAGTCACCTGTAGCTTCACTGCACAGCCTAGTCATGAGCTCCCACAGTAACAGATAACTCAGAAAGTCTGTGCCTTCCTAATGCTGATCAAAAGCAGCATCCCTATGTTAGGGCCAGTGAGTGAGTAGCTCAACAAAAGCATGTCTTAAGTAATGGATGTCACTCACTACATCAAGAAAGAGGTCACGGTACTTGAGTCAGTTTGGTCAGGAGTGCTAGGGGTAAGCAAGGCTGGTCAGCCTGTGGAGTGTTGAGCCCGGAAAAATTTGTTGAATCTATTTGCAATTGCAAACATGGTACTGATCAGGTTCTCAGCTAGTAAAAGCTCAGATAATAATACTCAGTTCAGAATAAAAGCTGTCGTTGATTATGGGGAAATGGCTATTCCAAAGTTGGAAGCCAAAACAGGTGAAGGTCACAGTGAATATCTTCCTGGCAGCAGTCTCAACATTTTACCATATGGCATTTATTCTTTTTTATACTATGCTTTTTTTTGTGTGTGTGCATGTGTGTGTGTACTTGAAAGGCCAAAAGGGAGGAGGGAAAAAGAGAGGAACAGAGTGGGGAACTGTCATTCATGGAAGATTGCCTAAATAAAACAGCAGCAGTATTTGTATTTGCATGGTGGTAGAGCCTGGTGCCCTGCCTAGGGGTCAGGGCCCCATTGTGCAAGGCACTGCCCTGAAAAGCTTGCAGTTGAAGTATAAAACAGGAGATGACATGTGAAGGGAAAAAACAGATGGGAAGGGCAGGAACTCATGATGTGATAAACAGCAATAACTTTTGAGCCTTTACTGTGCCTTCCTCTGGAGGGTTTCAAAGCCATCTGAAACTGAGGTAAGCATCCATCTCCTGGCTAAAAAGATGGAAGGGTGTTCTGCGCCCAAGACCGTGTTTTCTGTGAGGGACTGCGATGGTATTCAATATGTAGGAGATTCACTAATCTGTACTCTCCTGCTAACAGAAAGCCTGGCTGAGGAGCTGAGTCCTAGTGTTGTGCTTCCTGCCCTGAGTCTCATAGAGCCGTGGAGGCAAAGGCCATCTCCTTTGGATATGTCACCAAACTCTTCTTCATTGACCCTAGCTGTGGTTTGCCTGCAGCGTTCCTGTTATGCTGCAGTGCAGGCTGCATGAGAAAATCCCACCAACTCAGCATGCTTGGACTGAGATGTGAAGGAAAGCGTAAAAGACAGCTGTACCCATTCATTTAATAGTGGCCATCAGATTCCCCTTCCTCAAAGAGGAGGACCAGTAGTGCTTTTGCAAAGGCCTTCACTACAGCACAGCATATTCTGAATTGCTTTCTCCCCAACAAAAAAGCAATTGCTGTCTTAAATCAAATGATCTTGTGTTTTGTCTTCTTTTCTGTTTTCCTTTAATTTAGGGAGTGAGTTTTCTGGGAGTCCATACAGCCACCCGCAATATTCAACGTATAATGACTCCTGGAGATTTCCCAATCCTGGACTACTAGGTAAGTTCCCTACCTCGCCTCCCAGGCCTGTCACCAGTGGGGCCGTTGCAGGCAGCAGAGCAGGCCTTTGTCTATAACCTTGCTGTGATGCTCCGATCATCAAAGTGGGCAGGAAGCATGTCCTAGGACAGTCTTGTGCGACAGTGCTGGCCATCCGGTGAGTGACTTTAGATCTCGTTGAGGGCACAGTGGTGCAGTTCCCTTGGCCAGAGGGAGATCACACGGGCAAACGTCTCTTCCCATTTCTACCCCATACAGTCCATAGACAGAGAAAACATAGCACCAGAAGACAGGATCCCGTTTTTTTGAGGGTAAGAAATCCTGCTCACACAAAATTGTGGTACTCACTGCATTATAAAATCCCCACAAACTTTGTCAAAAATGCTGACTTCTTGAACACATTGAATTGCTTATGGCCAAACATATAAGCCCTAGCATTTCCTGCACTATTATTTTCTTGTTAGTTGTACCTGTTTTCATACCTAGATCTCACATTGGGCTTGCTTTTCAATTTTGCTTTTGCTGAATCTAGCTAAACTCTCCTTCTGTAAGGCTTCCTTGTGCCTTTGCAGCCTCACTGACTTGTGCACAGTGTCTCACAATCAGTGGGGGTCAGGAGTCATGTGATTTGTGCAGGATCATGGCCCTTATGTGAAGGATAAATATAATCCATTTTACACACTGTCAAAAGCTGGTCCACTTTGACCTTATATACATGTAGCATGCAGTAATTAGAATTTTTCCTTGCATAATTTGCATGGATGAGGTAAGTAAAATACCAGTTAATTGTCATCTCTCAACACAGTGGTAGCATGCCTTAGAGAATTCCAGATTTATGGATGACAGGGCTGTTATATGTGACCTCCAGCAGAGAAACAATTTTAAATTTTTGTCACTTTTTTCCATCTAGTTTCTTTGTTTTAAGTAATTGATTCCCCATGTAATTGAGCCACCCAGGCTGTATTCATCATTGTTCTTGCCCTTAAACAAATCCTTTGGGAGTAACAGACAGCCTCTCTCTCCTATGCCATAGTATTGGTATAATACTACCATTTGCCATACCACATTTAAGGGTTTGTTAGCACTTCCATCATAAATCAGTGAGCACATCCTCAGCTTTTATAAATAGCCATAGCTGCACAAAGGCTAGGGGAGTTCTGTGAGCATAAACCGGTAGTTACCATGGCCACAGCCAGGAATGTTTTTTAACCGAAGGGAAGAGTGCATGCACAGATTTATTTTTTTATTTTTTCATTTTTTATTTTTTTCCAACTACTCTACAAGCAGGTGAGCTGCTTGAAACTTGCGCTATTGAAGGGAAAAGCAACAAAGCTCTGCTCCATGAAGGCAGTCTTCAGAAGCTAGCTCTTAGCTGGCTTTTTAGGCTTGCAAAACAGTCAATGAACCAGCAGGCTACCAAACCAAACGAAACCCGTCTTCAAAAAAAAGGTGACTTTTGCCAAAAGTCCTGGACTACGCTCTGAATTCATTGCCACAGATTCACACCCACATGGGAGAGTTATTCGTTTGAGCAATCCCAGGAGTTCCTCAGCTACTGAGGCTGAACAATGACCCTTCAACTGAGATAGCAACAAGTAACGCAAACAACATGCTCGGCTAGTCATTTCAGATTATGTGTCTGTATATACTCAGAACATGCTGGCCAGATTCCAAGGCAAGGTAAATCTGTGCAGTGTTTTGAAGCCAATGAACATAGGGTTATTTGTATCAGGAAAAGAAATCCCCTTGACTTTAAAATGAAGGCATGTGAGGAATTGGCCTCTTATTGCTTGGCCAGGTTTTACCTGTGCTTTTTCTTTTTTTTTTCTGCACTTCCTCTTTTTCTTATTTCAGTTTTGAATGATAAATTTTTGGGGGCAAGTCCTGTTTCTTTTTCAGCTGTGCGGGAGCAGCACAATATGGTAACAGATGAAATGAAATCATACTGTCCACGGTAAGGTAAATGGATTGAAAAGCCCACTTCCTGGGGTAGTGAGAATTTGTACAGCAGTATTTACTCAGTAGCATGCTATAAACATGTATTTAAATGAGACAAGAGCAAAAAGATTTGGATGGTACCATTTTCCTTGAAAACCTGCCCTTTTATTGACATTGAAATGTTTCACATTACAATGACAACAATGGGAGATTTTTTTGCTGTTAGGCGTTCTTAAAATATATCACCTCCCTTGTCTTTATCATATTTTGTTTTGGTATTTTCAAAATTTTCTATTTCAGTAAATACAAACTTAATATGGCAATGTTACATTGCTTTAGGTACATCAAAACATATTGATTTGAAATTATCAGACTGAAACCTTCTGGTGTGTCAGAAACAAAAAGAAATGGGAATTTTTATTCTGTAGCAATGCCTAAAGATAAACGTTGCATTCCTGTTCAGCATGACCACATATCTGGGAATGGTGCAATTTCTTAAAGAGGAGGAATCTAATTGTGTGACCACTGCCAGTTTTAAAATATCTGTCCCACAATATTACTGACATAACTGTAGGAGCTCCTGAGTTGATTAAGAGCTGCCATGAATTCTGACCTCTCTGGGTTGCTCAAATGCTCTCTGTTGTATGGGGTGCAGTGGGAGAACTTAAGCAACAAGGTTTAGATTGAGCTGGACCTTGAGATTCCCTTTCATCGTAAGCCTTTGTGTTGGAAAAGCACCAAAAGCAAAATGCTGGTAGATTTGAAAATTCATTTGTTGTCAGTCTACATCATACAGTGTAGGGCATTGCAAAGGTCCTTGACCTAGCATCTAGTTCTGGAAACACAGCCCACTTGCCCATGCTAACAGAGGACCAGAGGGTAAGGCCAATGAGCTTGTGCTCCAACCCCACTACTATGGCTATGCATGTTGGAGGACCTGAATGAGCATAGCTCCATATTTGGCCATAGTGTGCAGGACAGATGCATTCTCCTGTGCCCTGTTGAGAGCAGGCTTATCCACACTTCTGGCTTTATCCTTTGGAGCCTGGCCCTCTGGTCCCTTCTTTGCCTAGGTACCCACTAAACTCACTAGTAATTCAAGGCGAGTAGGGATCTGCTGCAGAGCTTTAAATGTCTGTTCCAAGCCTCCTTGCAGACCCAGACCACCACATGTGGTGATCCTATACAGTCATAATGGAGAGGAGGTAAATTTAATTTGTATCTAAGATACTTCTACTCTTCCCAGGAGTTTATCTGAGTGCATTCGGTAATTCTCTCCTGAGAGCAACCTCTGGTAGTATCAACCTCAAAGCAGAAGCCTTGACAAAATTAATCAGGACTGGTACATGGGCTGACACAGTTGGTTTTCCTAAGTCCTACTCCCTTCATTGAGATGAAAGTGTAATGCTGTAAGCAGTTAACAGAGCCTACATCCAATTAACTCTCTACGCTGCCAAGGAAGAATTGTGCTGCAGCAATCACACCAAGCTGAGATTTGTCAAAGAGGAACTTAAAAGAGAGACGCAGTGATTTGCAAGGGGCAGGAAGAAAGGACAGTTGGGCTGAAAACTGTTTTTAGGGGAGCAGTGGGAAACAGTAAAGGAATAAAGAGAGCTAAGAAAGGTGTAAAGATTTCACTTGTTAGTCCCTGGTCTTTTTCTTCTGAGAATCCAGCAGCAGTGAAAAGTGTTAGTGAGTTCCTCCACTTGAGGGTACAACTGCACTCTCAAATGACATGCTGGTGGTGCAGAGTAGGTGGCTGGCTCCACAAGAACATCAGCTGCTCCCCGTCTTCTCTGTGCATGCTCATTGGTGCTCTCTCTTCCTTTTCACCAAATAACTCATCCAGCCATCTGCTTCATGGAACTTTTGAATGGATGCAAAAGGCTGACCACTTGTCAGTGGTCCTTCTTTCCTGGATAAGTCTGAATGCAGTGCCCTACAGCTCTTGGCCTAGGGGAGATGACCAAATTCCAGTCCTTCAGAGTGGTGAAGAGAAGCAGGGACAAAAGAAGATTTCAGAAATCACTTCATTTCTACAGCTCTGCAGCATCTATCTGTTGTTCTCTCCTGTAGTAGGCCTCAATAGTATCAACACCTTCCTCTGCTGTAGTGACATAGCCAGCATTTGCTGTGGGTCTGACACTGACTTGCTATAATTTGGTCTGGTGCTGGCTTCAGTAAGACTGAAGACGATACCAAGTTTCAACAGGGCTGTGCTGGGAAGATGTCATAAATCTTGGCTGCTTGCATTGCATCTCTCTCAGTGGCTCAAGCCAGATATCCCCCCGTAAAACTCAGCAAGCAATAACAGGAGATGGAAAAAGCAGCTTGGTTTCCCATTGTGCTGTTAATAACCTGAAACTGCTGTGATACAGGAATGTAGAGACACAGATGTGCACACAAACACACACAAAGGCAAGGATGTGCACACATAAAGTTCAGTCAGTTTCTGTCAGCATGGCCTGGCGAGCTTTCCTGTTTAAAGCCTGCTTAACACAAATAAGCTAAAAGCAGATAATAGGAACACAGCATAATGAAGAAAAATGATTCAATTTCATGCTGGTTTGTTGTAATAACATCTTTATCATTTTCACTCATTACTTTTGACTTGATGTAGATCATGGGAGATTTTGTTTGATGCACCGTTCCCACTTCTGAACTGATGTGATTTGTATATGTTGTGAAATGTAAGTGAGTCTGACAGGATTCCCTTTTAGATACACCTGAACTATCTAGCTGTTGTTACAAGAGACAGGGTCATAAGACTGTCAGTGTTGGCTTCATACGAAGGCAAAGAGTTTGGAACCAGTCAGTTAAGATTAGATTCAGTTCTTCTGTGGATTTCTGCAAAAAGATTAGAGAACAAGTAGGAGTCAGAAATGACTGTGTCAAGAAATAAATTGATGATAATATGAATTAGACAGAAAATATGACAGAAGAATGGACAAGTCCATTCTAGATGGGGGTATAAAGACAGGGAGAAAGAGTGAATGTTTTGTGATGTGACATTTTCATTCTTCACTTTAAATCCAAGCTTTTTTGATTTCACTGCTGAAATG